CACACACGCGTCAAAGGCTCCGTTGAACCGTTGCACTGACAGAAACGTGACCAAAGGGCGGTGAGGCTCCCAGCCTCCCGCTAACTTTCTGTCACAGCTCCTTGCACATAAATGCTGCGATGAGAGAGACCTGTGACGATGGCAGAAAGTCGCCAATGAAGGCAACACTTCTGAGAATTCAAGAGGCTCTAAGACTCTAATTGGGGCTTCGAAGGGTCGGCCATCGTCAGATTGAATTCTGCAACTAGGAATCCGCACAGCTTCACGGTCGGCGGCTTCGCCTCCGGGCATCACAAGACGGTGACGGTGCCTATGTTTGTCTTGCGTGTGTGCTCAAGTCGGGTGGTGCCAAATGAAATCCAGCCAGCTACGTGGCAAGTCGTGGCATCTGCAAGCACTGCTTGAATCCATGCGCGGTCGCATCCCCACTGCATCTACCAGTACTGTCTGATGCAACTGAGAACAAAAAAACCATCTACAAATCCTGGTTGCCTAGATGCTCGTCGACTCCAGCATCATCAGGCGATGCTGTAGAGTGTTGGGCATGGCAGGCGCTTCTTGCCTTGTGGATAGCTTCGTTCGCTGTCTTGGGCTTAAACCACAGGTGCAACCTGCTGCACATGCGAACCCAAAGCATTCTGACAAAGCATCAATCTCGGCCAAGCCACCACAGTAACGGCCAAAGTGGAACGAAATATCGTCCAGCAGCACTTCGGCACTGCGCAGAGCCGCATCCTGGACGTTCTTCCTGACGCGGATCGGACGGCAGGGGTCAGCAAAACCAGACCAAGCGGGGCATCGGAAATACTTACAGCCGTCCTCGCGTAAAATGCATCCCACCGACAACGTCTAACGTCTGTGCTCTTTCTTCCCGTGGATTGTAGCATGTCACGTGCTGCATCAGTGCACATCACTTGCCACGTGCCGCTGAGCTGCGTCGGGCTTGAGATAACGAGCTGGAGCATGAGATCGGCTTCCGCCGGCTCGCCATTCGGGCTGGTGGAGTCGAAGTGGCCACTGCCGGCACCCCGCACCCGGGCCTTCGCCCCTGTGGAAAAGATGGGGACCATGTTGCAGCCCTTTCGGCCGATCAGCCGTGGCACGAGGTCGAAGTCCGCATGCTTTTCCGGGTCATATCCCGTGAAGAGAATCTGAATCTGATAGGCGTCCTGGCTCTTGCAGTTCTTGCTGTGCTTAGACTTGGCGTTCTTCGCTGAGCGGCGAGCAGTGCCGTCGGACCCCTTACGTGACAAAGATGGTCGCACCTCTCTTTCGACCTGTCTTTGCGGCTGAGAACCGGGTGTTTTTGGCATATTCTGCACCACTTCACGTTTCGAGAGTGCTTCGCGAGGCTTTGAGGTCTTCAAGGCCTGGCAACCAAGGGTGGCAGGTCCAAGGTGTTCGAGGCCCGGAGGAGGGCCAATTGGAGGCAGCTTGCTGCATGGGCTCTCTGTGCGCTCTTGCTCGGTGTAACTGGAACTGGCATCCCATGCATCGTCACTGGCACTGCCTTCACCTGTGGAAGCTGAACTCCTGGTCATAGATCTGTCGAATTGACGAGGAAGTAGATTGGGGAAGGCACTCAGCAGGCATCCGATGTCCACCTTCAAAGGCTCTTGCATCTCCATCTTTGCACAAAATGCGGCTGAAGCAAAGGTCATCTCGATCCACGGCGAAGGTGAAGGCCTGGCAGATGCAGAAGCTGAGATTGCCACATTCACAACGACGATGACGACGACGACCACCCACAACCACAACAACGCTCATAACTGCAACCACAAAACAACCAACAACCGACAACCACGACCACCATCACGACACCAACAGAAACAGCAACAGCAACAGCAACAACAACAACAACAGCAGCAGCAGCAACAGCAGCAACAGCAACAACAGCAAGAGCAAGAGCAAGAGCAAGAGCAACAGCAGAAGCAGACCCAGCGACCAACCAACCCTGAGCACAACAGATCAATCGAGGCAGGACGCCTCCTTGCAGCCAAGCTACCGCAGTGCTGCTCTTGGAAGTGCAAAAGCTCAAGGCGGTTGGCACTGATTGGAATGGCTGCGGAGTGAACTCACATCAAGACTGCAACAACATGTCCAGGGCCCTACAAGTGAACACCCGAATCTCTTTGATGAATCGGCATGTCCTCAATCGTCTAGTAGGCGCGTGTAGGCATGCTTCGGCAGTGGATGCATGTTGAAAGCGACAAACCTGGCAGCGAAAGGTGCTGTCAGGATCAAAACCAGATACCGGCTCGCCCAACATCAACGGCATGCTCGAGTGGGCCTTAAGTGCTAAGTGCCAGCCGGTGTCCTTCCAGAATCTTCCGATTGAAGTCCCATGGCCGAAGGCTGCCTGAGTGCCATGGGTCCGTTCTGCCACCGTGCATCAAGACTGCCATTAGTATTACTATTGCTGCTACTGCTACTGTGACTATTACTACTCATGTCGGGCGAGCAGCACTGTTATGGAGTTGACGCCAGAGGCATCTACCGTGGCCGCGGCCACAGCCTCAACCCCAGAGACTGGAAGTGTTTGCCATGGCGAAACGGCTTCACGGTCGAGCCAGGTGCACTGGCATGTCCATGCATCTGCAGGTCAGCCCTCCAACTGAAAATGGAGCAATTCAAATCCAACTGGTGCACTGATGCTCTGCACTGCCTGATCTCCACTTCCAAACGCCTCAGCTGCTTTGCCCACACAGGCGCCCACAAATCCAGACACTCCTTCCGTCTGCAGGCTTCTCCCGGCTTCGTCAAGCCCCTTAGCTCGCAGCCGGGGTCCCAAAGCTGGGAGTGCTCTGAGGACTGGATTCCTGGACAGCCGTTTGGTACAGTGCCGCTTGGAGAGCGACTGTGGTGCTTTCGTGCCTGCCATTGTCAGCCTGGTTAGGATTTCCTCCCTGTCCCCGAGCAAACAACTGCAAGGGCCAGAAAATAGAACTTGTAAACTGTAACCGCATGCGACTTCCCCCTCATCTGATATGCAGCGTCCTCATCGTGGCTCCAGGAGAGTGGGCCACCCCCGGCAGCATCCCCACCTTGGACTTGGACTTCACTGGCTTCAGTAACAAATTCACGGAGGATTGAGGTGTAAGATTCCCGAAAGCTTCGACGTAATAACACAGGCTCCCCCCGTCTGGCCCCGCCCCGACCCACAAGCGCACACACAAGAGGCAGACACGCCAACCTGCTTTAGCCGCACATGGAACCTTCGCCTCCCCTTGCTCACTGCACTCCGCAGAGAGGCGGGGTCCTGACTGTGGCGTACCGTCCGAACATTCGTTCCACAAGTACCTAGCACTCCTCGCTGCTGATGCCTTGTCCTGAAGCCGAGAACCGGCACATCTTTTGGCGCAACCCATTGTTGCAGTTCTGAAGATCCGTGCGCCGAGTCGCCCAGCAGCTGTTGCATTTTAACTGCTTTTCGTGGGAGCATACAGCAATTCGGAAGCAAGGCAAACACGACAGCCTCAGCCCCAGGCAAGCGCTGAAAGGAAGCAACCTGTGTCATCTGCTGGTGGAAGGCAGGTTGGACACGGAGCGTTGCTGGTGATCTCGTCTGGCGCTGTGCTGGTGTTTGTTGCTCGAAACTACGGATTACTTAAATGCTGCTCCCAGCAGGCTTCGACTCTCACACCTGGCACAAGGCAGGCAAGGTTTCAGGACAAGTCTGGGTAACGCTGCGAGTGCACATGAGGCCCATCGACTCACAACGGTCTTGAACTTGGCTATTTCGGGCGCTGCTCCCTTCATTTGCTCCCTGCCGGATCCGAGCACAGATGCATGCCAAGAAGCCAGGCACGCTGCTGCTTTGCGAAATGAAGCCTGTCAGATGCATCACTGTTTCTTATAATTCTGAATTCTCTGATTATCATCGTCGGTCTTCTTATCAGTATTGCTATCACGCAGATTATCATCATTCGTGAAAGCCCTGTGCGCCCTGCACTGCTCAAAGCTCATCCGGTTGGGCCGAATGTTTGGTCAGTGCATCTGCGAGGCAGTATTTTGAGCTCACATGAGCCAGACCACCTAATAACCCAGAGTTTGGCTCTACTTCATCCCTCGCGGATGTTCTGCCGACATAAGCAGGCCTTGTTAGTTAGAAGATGTGTTTTTGTTCTTTTTATGGGGGGTGGTACCGTCTAGTAGACTCATGATCAGGAACCCTGTAGATCCCTAAGGCATGGCATTACACATTTTCATTTAGCCGTTGACGTTTCGCTCTCCTTTGCATCCCACTGGTTCCCCACAGCAGTCGTCCGAGCCCTCCAAAGCAGCGACAGCTTTCGTGACAACCAGCCCTGCGACGCTTCTGTTCAGCATACATTTCTTGAACTTTCCTTTGGCGAAGCCTTTCCACTCATGCCAGACCTTCGACCCCCTTCCCCTGTTTTGGCTCGCGAGTCTCTGTCCTGTGAAACTTAGCGGAACAACTGCCCTGGATGCAATGCCATGAAGGCAAAATGCATCCTGTGCCTGCGGCATCGGAAACCGTCGGTGAACGGAATCCGAGCAAGCCAGATCAAATCTACAGCTAGAGTATGAGAGAAGTAATTGCAAGCCACAAAGCCTCTCCAAGCCAAACTAACTGACCACGACAGCAAACTGACAACCGTAGTTGTACCATCTAGGTTGCTGCACTCCGGACACGAAGTTATGGAAGGCAAGTGTGCTAGAAACATGCTGGGCGCATTCTCTTGAAGACTGGCACAGCACCTTGAGCAGTATCGAGCAACTCCTCATCACCACTGGGGTTACCAGAGGTGACACTCGTTCATACTCTCATGCACACGTTGGAGGATGGAAAAGCTGCTTGGACAGCACTGCTCTCGTTCGGGTAGACTCTGGCATTTTCTGAAACTCAGAACCCGAATTTGGCTGGCCATTTTGCAAAGAGTCAGCGCACTCGCTGGCCAGACCAACGAGCGACGGCAGGCAACCTCCATTTCTAGTGGGCCAACTTGTAAACTTGGCTGGTGACTGCGTGAAACGGCTCACATCTGAAAATTCGGAGTGGATCTGGAAATCACCAGCTCTTCGTCGTTCATGCTTTCGTTGATGTTGGCAAAGAGAGGGGTCGAAAAGTATCGCTCGCCAGTATCCGCAAGCAGGACCAGCAAAACAGACCCTTCAGGTGCCTTCTTGGCCAACTCGACCGCGGCATGCATGGAGGCCCCTCCGGATATGCCCGTGAAGATGCCCTGCGTCTTTGCGAGCATCTGCGACATGTTCACCGCAGCCGAGCCTGGCACGGCCATGTACTCGTCATACCCTGGCGAACCCTCCACACCATCCTCGACAATCTTGGCAATAAAATCAGGAGTCCATCCTTGAATGGGATGAGGAGCGAAGAAGGCGTGGGAGCCTGTGGCGGAGCCATCGGCTCTCCGCTCACTTTTCTGGCCGGAAGCCAACAGAGGCGCCTCCGCGGGCTCTGCAAGACAGATCTTCACCTCTAGTTCATGGTTGGGATGGGATTCATAATCTTAATGACTTAATTAATGCGTATGGCCGTTTTGGGGTTTAAGTACCCACAAAAATGCAAAATGTTCCCCAACTATGACTCAGACCTCAGGTCGGTGTTCTCGCAACCGCCTTCCCGCCCCCACGAATGTTCCACCAGTCCCATAGCCCAAAACGAAGTAGTCCAGCTGTGCATCTTCGAAGTCGCTAAGTATCTCCAGCCCAGTTGTGTTGTAGTGAAACTCGTAGTTCGCCGAGCTTTCGAACTGATGACACAAAAACCACCCGTGCTTTTTGGCCTCAGTCCGTTCAGCTACGGCTCACCCAACCGGTCACAAATGCAGCTGCACTCCAATGGTCTGACGGTCATGGCTCCACTACACCTAGAACAACCCTGTTGTTCCCAGAAGATACCACTTCACCTAACGCAACTGCAACATGGCCAGGCTGCGAGCTCCTGAGCTTTGACCACCATGCCGGTACCTTTGCCAGCCCGCGGCGTGACGATGACCCGAGCTCCCAGATAGCGCATCAGCTTTCCTCGGGCGGTTTGGGATATGGAGTGAGACTTCAACAAGCTCGGCTACCTAGGATCTGTACAGCCGAAGCTGCTACAGCTCAACACGGGAACACTTCTTTCGTTTGGCAAGGAGCCTGAGGATTGCTCCCATCTATCTAAGATGCGAAGCTACTTCAAGATACCTGTAGCATCTCCATTCATGAGCTTCGGCGACTTAGCAACCCGACCCTCTCCGTAAACCTTCATCCAAGTCATCCAAGCATCGCCTTTCCAAGGAGAAGGACTCAGCCATGGTAATAACCTCAAAAAGGGCAAGAAAAAGCCCAACTTACACTTGCCGGGGCTATACGAGTCACACGGTTTCGGCTTCGTTGCTGTCTTGCCTCCTCTGTATAGCTACCTACCTATAGCCTTTATACCTATATCTGTATCCAGATACCTATAGCCAGATATCCATTGATATAACACTTCGGTGCTTTTGGTCCAGGCTCTCGGGGTGCCTGTTCGGGGCGGGGCTCGCTTGCGTTTCTCTTCGCAAAGCTGCAGAGGGCTATTTGGTGCCTATGTAACCATACTTCAAATCAACCATAGATAGAGTATCAACTGCAAATGACATAACGTAGTGTATATTGATATTGGGATGTGACACAACAAAATGATACCAGATATACTGCAGTGTACTCTTGAGGGAGAACCCTTTAAGCTTAACGAGATGGTGCTGCGGCGCCGCGTTTTCAAAATTTCCATTTGCCGAGGTGGGCTCGGTCTCTTCGTGAACCCCAGTGAGACATTTCCTTCAATCATTAGCTACCATCCTCTATCATGCTTCTTACCTCTGATCGAGTCCCAGATGAAGTAGGTAAAAGTCCGAAAGCTTCCTCGGCTTGAGTTAGCAATTCACGGCGCTGAGAGCTGAACATGGGCCCTTCGTATCAAGCTTCACAACGTGGTGGAAGCAGGGTTGCAAACATCTGAGACGCCCACACTCTGGTGTCTGAGGCGTGAACGCACTTGTAGCCCCGCTGCGCACACACCATGGCCAAGGCGATGCCTTTGCACGGTCGATTGAGTGGCTCGACGCTTGAAGAGTCCGTCTTGAGAGTCGTCAGCTTCTACCCTGCTGGATACAAGGGATGACCTCCCTCAGTGCCAAGCTGCGACTAACACTACCACAACCAGAGCCATGCAGCACCCGCAACCGCGAAGCTAGACAGGAATCGGCCTGTGTTTCCGGAGGTCGCTTCTATCACGGTGTCTCCGGGTTTGAGGAGTCCTCTGCCTCGGCAAGGCAGGCAAGGCATGACGAAAACGAACTGGTGTCGCTGGCTGTGTAGTTGCCACAAAGCCCCCGTACACTGCTTCAGAGATGAGCCGTGTGCGGAGACGAAGATGAAGCAAGCGCTACATTCATGCCAGGATTCGCTCAGCATCCTCAATAACGCCGCAAGCCAGCCGGTCCTCGTATTTGCATGAGTGATGAGGCAGTGAATTCATTCAGCACAAAACTGTGTCCTTGACGCTCGAAAGCGGGTTGAAGTACTCGAGCTTGGCATAGATCGTCCTACCTGATTTTGGAGGGATCAGGAGCTGGCAGCTCTATTTGTGCTTTTGTCTTGAGGGCAGTGTTCCTGCAAAAACAGGATGGCTCGTCCATCAGTTGTGTCGTGAACGCAGTCAGTATGGCCGCCCGATGAAGTGCCAACTTTGCCTAAGATGGACAGCCAGCGGTGACCGGACCCGCTGTCTCTGCTGTAGCATGTGGCCGGCCAGCTTGTATGTGCTTGTGCGCAAATGGGATAGAAGGCACATTGGGGCGCGACTGCCCCAACGTGAAACAGCGATATAACAAGGCATAGTTAAAATACAGATATCACGAACTAGTCAAGTCATGACAGTGATGGTGATAACAGCAGGAAAAACAAGATAAGCGCCACAACAACGCAGAAGCAAATTCCGGCCTGTAGGGCAAATGGCCTTTGAGATTCGGATGCAGGGAGTGTCTCCGACGGTCTGGGTGACCTGGATGTCACCGCAGTCTGTCAAGGGGAAACAATACGAACGGTAGCCAATCAATCCCAGTTCCGTTCCCACTCTCACCCTACTACTGCACGATCAGCACATACTAGTACCCATAGGCTCCATTGTAGTTCCTTCTTGGGATTACCTTCTAGGATCCTACACATAAGCCACAAAAGAAGAAACTACTATGGAGCCTCTAGGTAGCTGCCAAGGAGCATTGTCGTAGAGCCGACCTCGGCCTTTGCCACGGTCGCGCGTGCCCACCAGTAGGGAAAGACCAGCTTTGGCCGGTAGACAGCTCCAGCAGGACATGGCTTGTAGAGTTTTACGAACAGTAGTGTTTTGTAGTGCTTTATTACACACTGCGCTCCCACAAGATTCAAGTAAATAATGATTGGTCCCTAGTTAGAGTCTTATGTGTTGTCGTTTACATTCGTTTATATGGCGACGCTTTTCTGGACATAGTTTGTGTGGTATATAGCGCAGTTTCAGAGGGTGGGAGTTCTGGAGTGGGTGCTTCACCGGCACCGGGCTGAAGGAGGGTACGATGCTACTGGAAGCCATCATGCATCACGATCCAAGCGGCACGCGAAACCTAGTTTGAGAAGTCAGTGCAATCGGTCTGCAGATCCGGGCCATCCTCATCGTTGCGTTGTCACTACGCAGAATCATGCTACCCAGAATCCCGGCCCCAGCACCTCGTCGTCTCCGCACCAAAGTGTGGGAAGTGCGAACTGGTAGGGCCTGCTGGCTGGGCAGATGCATTTCTCTGCTGTACAACCCGGAAACCTAGAAACGAGCCGATGTACATGGCAGAAACTGTCAATCGATTTGGCTAGCTAGACTACTCCAGCTTTGCGACAGAAACGGAAGGGGTTGGTACGACAAGGGGCCGACAAGGAGAGCCACCTTCATGTTGGCAAGAGCTACGGTACTTAGGGCAATGGCAAGTGGAGATGCGAGACTCACTGAAACCCGATCATGAGCATCAGAGTCGCAATGCGTGAACCCTGATCGCATCAAAGTCCTGCTGCAGCATATCTACAACACTTCAGCAGCAGGTTGCGAGCCCAGTCGCTCAAGAAACCTTTAAGAGCCATGGGCTTACATCTGCGCCAGCCATCAGAACCAGGCAAGACTTGTGACGAACTCTCGCAACTCGGCCGGTTTAGTTTATGCCGTCCGTGCATGTGCGTGGGGATGCAATGTGCATGCGATGTATGTGTAGGTACCTGCGGCCTGCGGAACGGCAGCCGTTACGAGCATCTCTCAGCCCTCGTGGCCTTTCACGGGAGTCATGGGCTCGGCTGCTTCGCGCCGAGGCGGCTGGCTCGGCCAACCTGCAGGGCCATGCTAGAAAATTGCCATTTTGTTCCTTTCTTGGCTCCTGTCTGAGCGTGTGGGAGGCGGGAGGTTTCCGGAAGCCTGGGTGATGAACGACGAGCAGGTCGGCCAGGGCCTGGCAGAGAAGGCCGGTAGCGATGGCCCACAGTCGCAGCAAAACGACTTGGCTCGCTCTGATAAACTCAGATCCTGCCTGCCACAACAGCTGGCGCTGCTGCATCGGCCTGGCGATCAAAGGATTCGCTGCAGCTCAAAACTTGTGCAAGCCTTGCGGAGGAGGAGGCTGAGGAGCGCACGTGTTTGCCTCGCTGTCGCTTCGCATCATACGAAAGGCAGATGGCACATACTCCTGGCAACAACCAAGCACATGCAGACCAGGTTATCGTCGGCAGGCTTGTCCCTGTCCTGTGCTCGCTCGGCCTCCAGCTTTGAGATCATCACACGAAGGCGGATCTCCTCAGAGCACTCTCAAAAAGTCCTGCGAAACGGAACATTCTGCTCTGCTCTTCACCTCCGGGGCACGGGCGGCCTGCAGGAAATACGGGTCCGAGGGTGCCAGCAAAGGCCAGGGTCCCGCGGCCCAAAACCCCAGGAACCAGGGCTGGTGGTAGCCCCGCAACCTTGCAACATCTAACTGTCGGTGCGCACAGCTTTACGGCTTTGCTCTGGCTAAACATGCAGCCAAGTGCCTCCCGAGCACCACCGACAGCTGCTGGCGTGCCTGTCACCGTCAACTCCGATGACAGAGTAGCGATGCGAATTTCGTCTCGGGAGCATGAAAATAGGCAAATGTGCTCGCATGCCTCCGAGCTTATGCGATTGCGCATTGGGATTCGGAGTCCCTAACTTTTCTTTCATCTGGTGCTGTCTACGTTTTTCGATGTTGCCGGATTGCACAAACTGTACGGCTTTCCACTTCAGCTGAGGCACCCAGACGAAGCCCACCACCGACTGAAAGCTGCCACGGAGCAGCAAGCTTCCACCCTGGGAAACTACTGGTCCCCAGCGCGTCGGCATATCTCTGCATGGCGTGGACCACACTACACATGAGTTCAGCATGTTTTTGAAACTTCGGTACCTGCGAGGACTCTCGGCGAGATCGGTGCTGGTCCAGAGCCTGGCGCGGCAAGCAAAGAGGACGGCAGCAAATCCCTCTGACCGACCAGAAGGAAGAAAAAGCTCAAAGCTCAGCGGCCTCGGCAAAACGGTAGAACATGGCTTGAAGACCGCTGTCTGACAAGGCCCGGCGCATCCAATCCTGTGGGCCCAAGATGTCAAGGTAATCGAGACTGGCGGAGGCAATCGAAAGCTCCTCTTCAGTGAGCCAGCGGCGGTCGGCACGTGCCTTCAGCTCATGCTTAGACTGGGTTTTTAGCTCGCGTGAATCCGCTATGAGCACCAGAAGGGCTCGCACCCTGGTTCTGGCTTGCCCAGCCGAGGCTGTGGCCAGGATCTCAACCACCCGCGCAGTTCCGGCCCTGCGCCGGCCTCGAGCCATCCACCGCTGTATGGCCTGCGAACTTGCAGGACAAGCTGATCTAGACTTAGCAACCCGTGCTGTGCGCCAGCAGCTTAGTTTGTGCAAGCTCTTCCTTTAAAATCTAGAATCTAGACCATTTCAACCAAGGAGGCGTGGACTGCCCGGAAAAACCTGCCTGGCTCGCCCGAAGCTCCGACGACCGACGGTGCAAAGCCTGTCCGGAGCAGATCGAGTGACTGACAACCATAGACTTGGCGGAAACGCATATCCGACTCCATGGTCTTGATCAGTAGAGCCCTCTTGTGCCTCTGCGTGGTGTCTACGGCGCCTGCCCTCCCCGTGATGTCGGACCCATAGGCCAAACAGGAGCCTGGCCAAGTCATACTGGGGTCATCTCTACCTCTGCAAGCTGCAAGCGGGGCTGGGCCCACCTCTGCTGCGCCTGCCTGCGCTGCAGAAAGGCGGAGGCCTCGGAGCAAAGCTTCGGTGGCGCTGGATGGCACGACACCTTCGGATTTTGGGGGGGGGGGTCTTGGCCTTGATGTCCCGAAGCTGAGGCACCACAGACTTCTGGGGCCATCTCGGAGGGTATTAGGTCGCGAGGGTGTAGGAAGCGGCTCTTCTCTTTCTCTTGTGCATTATCTGCACTGTCTCAGTCTGTCGATCGGATGCGACGGCAAGTCCAACAACTTGCCCGTCACTGATCTGGCATCCAGCAAAACGAAGCTATCAACTCCAAGTCCGGGGTGGGGAGAGAACCTCCCTGCTGCTCCATAGTAAAAATTACCTATACAAGTTTGGGCTTCTTTTTATAATGATTATAGTGGGCCCTATTCTAATTATTAAGACCCCTATAGTTCGGACTTAGCAACTTCCGCTACATGTGCATTGCTCCTTCATGCGGCAGGCTACAGTTACTAGAGTCTCACCACCCCGGGCTTCAGCTAGGAGGAGCACCTTTGGAGCCAATCAGGCACTGCAAGGGGAGCTCAAGGCTTTGAAGGGATGATTAACAGAACTTCAGTCCAGCTCGGTTGGATGATGACAGGCAAGGTGGTCGGCAGACCTTCCCTCACTGGCCAATGCCTTGCCCGACTGGCCGCATCCTCAGGATCTGTGAAATTCAGGAAGCTCGATCCCAAACTGCGTCTGTTTGGCAGATAGTTTGGGCTTCCGAGTCCAGCCTCGGTGTTCTCAGCACGGCATACGCTACTCAGCCGAGGCCGTCCAAGGGGTGAGTCTGGAAGACACCAATAGTTTCAAGCCGGGTATTCCTGAATATGCCTCAAGCTCCACCCCTCATCAAGCCTATATAACATGAGGAAAAGGTGTCGCGGCACCAGTAGCGGGCACACGCTGATTGGCCGAAGACTGCTTGATGCACTTGCGGCTCGGGCAGACGAAAGGAAGCATCTCATACCTCCACGCTTAAGCTGGTAGGCTCAACCAACAGAATAACTTGGCCCAAGCACGATGCAAAATCAATTCAAAAACATTGCACGGTCCCAAAGGGATTATGTCGCTCTGCTTAGTGTCACAGGCGTATGCGAACAGCAAATGCCGCTGCAATAGTAATAGATAATAACAATTCCCCCGTCTCCGGAGGTCTGCATGCTGCGCGTTTTCGACACATCGTGGATCAGGATGCCTGAGTCCTGGCACGTCAACGAATCCCTGCCCCCAGCACATGTAACCTCACAATCTCCGATTTCCAACTTCCTAAGCACGGACTTTGTGTCTAAAACCTGCGAAGGCCTCAGTCTGCAAGGAGCTCGGGACATCTGGCACGGCGATCAGTCTTTGCCTGCCAGAGCTAGGGCGTCGGACTCGGGGCTCAGGGCGAAGGATTGAAGGATCTGTAGGGCTTCTGGCCTACGCCTTGAAGTTCGAGGCTTCAGGCTGCAGGGCTTAGGGGTTGATTTGTTGTACAGGGATATTCACGGGGGTTTTTGTTGGCTTGCAAGCGGGCTTTCTGCAGGATGAGGGCAGTCCTCTCTCTAGCTTGATACACATGGTCTGGCTCTTTCCGCTACTTTCGGGGAGTGCCAGAGGGGACCCTTGCAAAAGGGTACCTTTGTCCTAGGCATACCAAGACTTGTAGGGTTGGGAGTTCAGGGTATATTGTTTAGGGTTTAGGGCTGAAGAGCGATGCTTTAGACCTTTACCAAAGTACCCCGCAGCTCATAAACAGGGCCCCCTTTTTTGATCCAGCGCATGACTGACTGATGCTGTTCTTGTCCACGGCTGCCGGGCCTCGCGGGCAGGAATGCTCACAACGTGGCAGGCAAGGCAAATGTGCACAATGTCTGGAGCAAAAACCAGTGATGCGGCTCTGAGCTTTTTGTGTGGAACGCCCCGGCAGTGCCTCCCTCGGCTGTGTGGATTCTCTGATGAGAGACCTGTGCAACGTGCTGATTGGCCTAAAGGTGCCTGGCAAAGAGAGTCCACACTCTATGGTGGCAAAATCTCACTGTCAAACTGCCATGGGCAGTCTTCGCCGGTCCTTTGTTTGTGGATTGACCAGGCATACACCAAGACATGCTTGAGGGCCTCGTTGCACTCTGCAGCAGAAGAGAACTGTACATTTAAATTTAAAGCCGGTGATGCGGCCCATTTGAGCTTCCAGCGATGATGCCATTCCCGCTCTTTCGAGATGGTGCACTCCGGAGGCAGGAGTCTCTTTGCCTCTGGCTGGCTCATGCCCTCCTGAGCAAAAACCACCGCTTTGCGGCGCTGCGTGGGAGCGTCCTCAGGTTGTGGTGGCCTGGGTACAGGAGCTTTGGTCAACGGATGTTATCTTCAGATTTGTAAACCCCCTGCAGTTCAGAAGCTCCAGCGCTGGAAATCAATTCACTATTTACAAACTTCGAAGCCCCTTCAATTAGGAAACCCCGGTGGAGGACCTGGTTGAAAGGTTACATGGGCCGACCCCATTAGGGGTCAGGTCAGGGTTCAATGCCTCAACTTGACCGAGCAACCTTGGTGGAGACTGAGAGGCCGCAGCGAGCTTTGCAAGGGCAGCCTCGCGACGCCTCTTTTTCGCATAAACGACCTCCTGCAGCTCCAAGTCCTCCCAGTCAAAATATTCCTCGTCCGCCAAAGCCTCCTCGACACGGTTGAGAGTAGTGGAGGGCTTGGCCAGGTCCTGTGGCTGCATCTGCAAGCCCTACTTGGCCCCCGAGCCGGAACAATGCCATTCTCATGGCATAGCTGACACTTTTGAAACATCAATAGAAAACTACAAATAAATGCGGAAACCCACTCTGGGCCTCATGAAGCTTCAACCTCCTTGAAAAGATCTCACGGAACTTGTCTTCGGTGAATGCGTCCCCCAACGCATGACGGGCCAGAGTTCGCATTAGATTGATCTCAGTCGCTGGTTGAGGGACCCGCAGCGAGAGATGAGAGACCAGTTTGCGCAGGTAGTACACGGTCATCTGCGGGCACCCATGCTGAATTGAGAACCTCACAGTAACAAAGTCACACCAACATGTCAAGCCAAAACCCTACGCGATGAACCAACCCACACCTGAAAACAACAGTTAAACCCTACATGTTAGGCCCCTAACTCCAAACCCGAAGCCCAAAGCCCCCTAAACCAGAAACCTTCACAGCAGCCTCTACTAAACCTTCAACTTAGGTGGGGGGGTTTCTAATAGACAATAGAAGCCTATTTCTCGTATTAAAGGGTACTCTTATCCCTACTGTTTCTCGTGGTCGTAGTTTAGTTTTGGACCTTCCTTAGGGTGTTTTGGGGTGGATTTCCTGGAATGTACGTTTGATGTTGAGAGCGGGGAAAGGTAATTTAATATTAGGAGTGCAGATTAAGGTGGTACTGTTAAAAAGTTCTGAAATCAGAAGCCATGAAACTTCAGCAAATGGCCTTTCTGAGAACCATCCTTGAACTGAACTGTCTGGCCAGATTGACTCGGAGGGACAATCTGGACGTCCGAGCACCGCCACTGAGTGTAATCCAGGATCTTATCAAACCAGACCTGTTCTTCAAATCATGCAAAATGAGCGCATCTAACATATACTAAACCAACTGCCGCTCCCTCCCCCGCGTGTTTTAAGTCCAGACCCACCACAAACCAGGTTGGGGTCGATAGCATTAATTACAGGGTTTTGGGTTTAGGATATAGGGCTTAGGTTTCAAAGCCATCCCCCGGGCCAAATTCCAGAATTTGGTGAGAAGGAAACGCAAGTGCCAGATACATAAATGCTGCTTTGTGGCAGGGCTGTCCCCAAAGTCTTGCAGATTCAACTTGCGCTTCTTCTTCTCGCCCTCGAATACACAGGTGAGCGCCAGATATCCATGGCAGCTGGTGTAGAGGACCAGGCCACGCTTCTTGTGGTCAGAGACCAAACCTCACTGAAACATGGGAACCGCTGGGCATGAAACAAGAAAACCTGATCAGAGGCACTCCAGCTGCCCGAAAAAAACAAGTTTGCTCAAACAAACATCTCAGAAGCTGCCTGGCACCAACAACAGTGATAGCCATGCCTTGCTCATGTCAGCGAAATTCCCGCCACAGGATGTCATGTTCAGAGTGGCCAAGGCTGTCTCTTTGTGGTACTTGGCATTGTGGTTGGGCCATGTTGGACGGGATGATGTGAGGGACTCAATCTGGGCCTGCTCCAATGTCAGCAACTCCTCACAGGGATGGATTGTCTTAGTTACATGATTACATACGATACAGAGGCTGTCACAAATCAACATTACGTGCAACAAGTACGTTTGGACTGATCCTGCCTTGGATGGCTCAAAAAATTTGGCCGGCAGCTTCTTCGTGGTGTGAGTTGATGAAGGAACAGGCCCAGGGAGAGGCCGGTCAAAGTCTTTGATGGTGTTGGTCGCCAAAGCCTTATTCATCCAATACAGGGTCCGGTCGCTTTTGGCTTCTACACTGGAACGGTATGTAAACACACAAGCTCTACTGTCGGCTGCGTAACTGTTGCATGCCAAACACCACGTTGTTCCAGCCGACCCCTGTCGCTCGATTTGGCTGCCCTGCGAGCATCATTGAAAAGATTCTCGAGCATCAATGTGCAGTGATGGGCCTGTGAATACTTTGTCAGGTCGACCTCGAGCAAGGGTGGCACCTCCCGAAAACCAGTTTCAGCCAGGAAGCTGAAATTCTCCCTGACCCAAACCTGGTTCGGCCACTCCATGTCTGTCAAAAGTCGACGGACTTTGCCATAGTCGGGCGAGTCAGCAGGTGTGCTTTCCAGGCGTTCCACGGCCGTGAACATGTCCTTGTGCTCAGAGAGACCCTGGGCTCTGGCAGGAGCGTCCTTCGATATCAACTTGAGGAAGCTGCGTGGTGGCATCCAGTAATTAGCCTGTGTCACAGACAAGAAGCCAGCAAGAGAGACAGCAAAGACATATAACGTTGTTAATGTCTCCCCATTGACAAAGCCGTCTTCCAGGCCCAATTCCCGCACAAAGTCATTGGACACCAAGGCAGAGAAGCATGCGGTGATGGCCGGAATCAGGCCACCCAGCACAAGCTCTTCCATGAAATGTGCAGTGCCCCTTCGCCTTCAAACGGAGGGGGCTGGGCTCAACAAGCAACCCTCTGTGGACCATGCCTGTGAAACCCTGAACCCTGACACCCAGCTTAGTGATAAGGATACACTTTTTTTTTTTGGTTCTGGGGGTTGTTTTCTATTCGGGTCACGGATTATGTTGTGACGAGCTTCGTTTTGACCTTGGCCATCGCCCCAAGAAACATGTGCTCCAGCTTGCGAGTCACCAGCTCCATCCCGTCCATGAAATTCATAGTTTCGCGAGAGGCCAGGACCCACGCCACATGCCTGAGCGGCCAAATTCCATGTTAATGTTGACTTCAGATTGATAGACGCCCTGTGGAGTAGCCCCAGCCCCACAAATTTGACTTCAGATTCATAAACCCCCTCTCACTTAAGCAACCCCAGCCCCACAACTCCATTAGTAACCCCCTCTACCTGAACTAAGAAACCCCGGTGGAGGGCCCGGTTGAGAGATCAATATAGGATCCTATTCAAAACAACAGGACACCCCAAGGGCAGCATTGAATCAAGGGCAGGAAATGGAAATTACAGGCTTTCCCTGATGCCCGACCCAAAGTCTCAGTTCGCTGGGTCAGCAGCTGAGGGGCCGGAATTGGCTGCCTGCATCTGCTTTGCGCTTCCGGAGCTCTGCCCGAGCCGAGCTTGTGCTCATCTTGCGCTTTTTCGTGTCTGGCTCGACATCTTCCGCTGCCTCGGGTGCAGCCTCAGGACCAGCAGCAGCAGAGGCTGCCGGTGGGTCTGTGGGAGCGGCCCCGGATTCCTCTGGATTGGCCTTGAGCAGTGGTGTCTCGTCCCATGTTTTCCAGTAGCCCCTCTGGAAGCCCAGATACAACAAAAGTATGAGGTTGGCCGTTCGCATTGGGCGCTGGTGACGGGAGAGGCCTTCCAGTGCCCACCACCGGCCACGCTTTGGAGCATCGCCAAGGGAAGCGTGCCTCAGTTGCCATGCGAAATCTCAAGGGAAAGTCTAAAACATCTCACAAATTCCAATGGCAAACAAGGTGCAAGAGATTGCTCAACATCTGTTTCCAGACCCACATCCTGTGTTCCTCAGTGCCCTGTGGCACCAGTCGGAAGTCACAGCAGAGATCGCCTAAGCTAACTGACACAGTGTAGACCTGATCTACAATCCAGAACAACAGCAGAGGCCATGAACTAGAGCCTCAACCCAAACCATGCCACATGGCTCCACATAGTTCAGTACAACCCTGTGTCGTCATGTGCAGCTGTGCAACCATAGAAGATGTTGAGGAACGAGTTGGGCACGGGCACTGCAGCGAGATCGCGAGAGGCCTGGAGCAGCGTCTGGTGATGGCCATCAGTGGCGTACCTGGGCCGAGCTTGTGTGTGTGTGGCATCTTTGCATCTTCGATTTCCACATGGCCTCTTGGAACACGACGGTTAATAGAGGGTGTCCTACGCCAGTTAATGAATGTTCAAATCCTGTTTACGATAAACTGAAACCAGTACATGGTTCAATGAAGGACAGGGTACGGGCCACGTCGCACCGCACACACTGCCGCCGCTTCCAGACGGGCAAGCTCCAGACCAGCCTCTGCAGCAGCATCTTGAACGTCACATTGAAGGCGGTGGAAAATGTCAAAGGACACGGTTCCCCGGATCTTCATTCCGTTCATGAGAAAGATGCCTGCGTACCACCCGGATGCACCCATGTCCTTCGTGTGCCACATACTGCACTGCATTTTTCTACATCCACAAGAAACAATTGATCCTATAGTTGTTTTTAAGGGGTCGACAGTCCTGACAAAGATGAAGAGTAGGCCGGATGACCTCCTTTCCCTCCATCCTCAAAGGCACCTCATAGAACCTGGTCTTGTCTTGCAACTCAACGCAGGCCTTGGTTAGTCTGTTAAATTCTTCATGCATGCATCTAACTCCAAGCAAAATGTGGCCAGCTTCGACAGGCTAGTCACCAGACGATGATGATGATGATCATGAACATCATCATGTACTTGTTGCTGTCACTACTTCCGGTTTGTTTTGTGTGAGACTTATCAGATGACAACCATGCCGCTCACTGTTTTCCTGCATTACCCATTACAAGGAATATGCCATCGCTTCCATAGTTTAGGGCCTAAAGGGTCCTAAAGTCCTAAAGGTCATGCAGGATTTTGTCCATCAACCGCATAATTTAAATCAGCTGAGGCTCTCGGTGTCGTGGATGGCCACTGAACTTGCACTCTTGCAACACGAAGTAGCGCTTTGCCCCCAGCGGAAGCCCACCCACCGTGCGCGTGGGAAGAAAGGCTGAGAGACCAAAGTTGTTGCTCCGTGACAACGCCGAATCCACTGCTATGAGGTACTCGAGGTTCACTTTACGCTCCTCAGGCGCTTGACCGGGATGGGCCAGGTACTCCTCTAACGGATTGTCCACGAAGAGGATTGGTGGTTGCATCTTCTCGGCCTTCTCAATGTCTGCCCGCTTGACCTTTAACTCTTGCGGAGGGAGGACCAAGCCGCAAGAAGCCGTCAGGGACCATTGGCACAAAAGCAGGACATCTTTGCTTGGTTTGCCGATGGCCGCTGCGTCGAAACACAGTGAAAGGACGCCGGGCTTCTGGAAGGCAAAACGAGAGGCCGCCT